AATCCTCCCCGTTTGGTATCATCAGCAAACTTGCTGAGGGAGCACTCTGTGCCTTCATCCAGGTCATTGATGAATAAATTGAACAGGACTGGACCAAGGACTGACCCCTGGGGGACCCCACTAGCCACAGGCCTCCAACTAGACTCTGCACCGCTGATCACCACTCTCTGGGCCCTGCCATCCAGCCAGTTCCTAATCCATCTCACTGTCCACTCATCTATCCCACACTTCCGGAGCTTGCCCAGGAGGATGTTGTGAGGGACGGTGTCAAAAGCCTTGGTGAAGTCGAGATAGACGACATCCACCGCTCTCCCCTCATCTATCCAGCCGGTCGTTTCATCATAGAAGGCTATCAGGTTAGTCAGGCAAGATTTCCCCTTGGTGAATCCATGCTGACTACTCTTGAGCACCTTCTTGTCCTCCATGTGCTTGGAGACAACGGCCAGTATGAGACGTTCCATCCCTTTTCCGGGGACGGAGGTGAGGCTGACTGGCCTGTAGTTGCCTGGGTCCTCCTTCTTGCCTTTTTTGAAGACTGGCGTGACATTGGCCTTCTTCCAGTCCTCCGGCACCTCCCCGGTTCTCCAGGATCCTTCAAAGATGATGGAGAGCGGCTTAGCTATGGCATCTGCCAGCTCCCGCAGCACTCTGGGGTGCATCCCATCAGGGCCCATGGATTTGTGGGTATCGAGGTTCCTTAGGTGCTCTCTGACCCAATCTTCCTCTACCCAGGGCAAGTCTTCCTCTCTCCAGGCTTCTTCTCTTGTCCCTAGGGCCTGGGGCTCTAAAGGGCTGCCCTTGGTAAACACCGAAGCAAAGAAGGCATTGAGCAACTCTGCTTTTTTTGTGTTATTCGTAACCAGGGTGCCCATCTTGTCTGCCAGCGGACCCACGTTTTCCCTGATCTTTCTTTTGCTGTTAATATATTTGAAGAAGTTTTTCTTGTTATTTTTAATGTTCCTTGCCAGATTGCATTCCAAATGCACCTTAGCTTTCCTTGTCTCATCTCTGCATTCCCTGACTACGTTCCTGTATTTCTCCCAGGGGGCCTGCCCCTTTTTCCACATTCTGTATACCGCTGCCTTCTGCGTGAGCATTGCCACAAGCTCCTTGCTCATCCGCACAGGTCTCCTGCCCCCTCTGCCTGACTTCTTACACACAGGGATACATTTTTATTTTTAAAATTGAAATATCTAACCTTGCAATTTTTAAAAGCTGAATATTGTAGTTGAAAAGTATATTAGTACTTCTGTTTTCTGATATTAGAGCATCTCTGTCTCTTTTTGCTTTACTGAATGTTGAAATGGAGTAAAATTCATTTTGGACAGGATGCAAGATCACATATGGGATTTTTCTTTCCCCTTTCAGAGCATTTTTGAGCCCCCGCACACTGGAAAGCCTAGTCAGGAAGGCGGAGAAGGAAGAGATGGAGAAATGTTCTTGTGGTCCTGATATAAATGCCACATTTTAAAGAAATTACATCATGAAAATTGCTTTCCACTTCAGTATCTCTTAAGGGCTATTAATACAAGCAATTCCAGACCTTAGAAATACTTTGTAGTCTGCTAGTGCACAAACTATAAAAGTTTATTTTATCAGGAAGCAAGATAACGGAAATTGCTTTTTGGCAAGTTTCTCTGAGGAGAACCTGGCATCATTCAAAATACAGTTACTCATCCAGCTTATGCATGTCCATAAAATTGTGGAGAAGAAATTGTTTTTTGTCCTGTAATGCCTCATAGAATGGTAAATAGGACCTCACCTGCCTGAAGGAGTAAAATCAGAGGTTCTTTTTATTCTCGGCTGCTGCTTGCTTATTCAGTGTTTTCCTATTTGTGCAATCTAGGTTTTGCAGGTAAGGCTGAGGATGGAGATGTGGCACTATCAATTCTCTGAGCGCTTCCTATACTTTGCGTATTTGCATGCATGCATACTTGCTCACTACCAGTATTAGTATGTATGTGCACACCGTATCTAAGCAGTTTTACTAGCTGTTAATAGCATATAGAAAACAGTGTCTGCAGCACTTCAGGTTCTTTGCACAGTGAAACAGGACTACACAATGTATGTTAAACTGTTCCTAATAACCTATTTGGGTTTAGTAATTCATAGTCATTAGAAATATTCAGATAATTTATTCTTTTGCCTCTTGGCATAATACTGATTATTTAATTTGGGATAAGTTGTGGTTTTTTGTTGTTGTTTTTTGCCTATTTTGCAGGTACTGGAATGTTGAGCAATTTTTGGCCCAAATTTTGCTGTATTTGTTACTTCTGTCCTTAAAAGGATAGTGCAGTAACAGAAATAACTTGTGCTCATGGAAGTCGATCCTTTTCTAGAGAAGTTAAAAGTCAAATGATCTTTTGATGAGACAGGTGTTTGGATTGAGCATTCCTTTCTGCACAGTCCTGTGAATCTGGATTGTTTTAACTTTTATAGTTGTCTAAACAAGCTTTTACTTAGGTGTCAATTGGATTTTCAGATCTAAATTCTTGCAAAACATCAATTACATGGCAAACCAAGAGGCAGGTCCTCCGCTAAGGCCTTCTCTGAAAAGAATAAAAGAATATAAAGAATATAAAAGCTTATAAGAATATAAGCTTTGGAAGATTATGTTGAACATCATGACTCCAACATCCATTGCTCTTCTACTGTCCACTCAACCATCTCATCATAGTTCTGAGAGTCTTTTAATGTAGTCCTATAAGACTATTTATAAGGTAAGAATGGTCTTAGCTTTGAGAACATATAAATTGTGAATGTGAATTTTAATTATATCATTGTTATTTTAGCTGACAAAATTTCCAATGGTAGGATAAGGCCAAGACCATATGCATTATATTGAACAATATGGTGAAGAAATTTGGCAGGTGCTGTGCCATTGTACCAATTGTCATTGGACATAATGAAAGAGCAAGGTTAGCTCATTAAGCTCATTAAGCTAGCAATGAGTATGGAGATATCCAAAATGGCCCGAATACTATAGGTATAGATAGATATGTGAAATCAAGTAATTAAGTTTTACAGTAGATTTTGAACTCTGATTTTGATTTTATTTCATTTCAGACAAATAAAAAGAATGTTTATCTCCATGAGCCACTTAAGTAGAAACACCGAATTGATTATAATGTTTATTAGATGCATCAATAATTAGACATTTCCACCAGTACTGAAATTTCTCTGAGTGATATGAAGGATTTTCTGAATTAACTAATCTTGTAGCCAAATTGTGTTTTTTCTTTACTGCATAGATTTGAAAATAAAATTGCTTAGGATTCCCCTCCATTAAATGTTGATCAAAAGGAATGGGTTTTATTCTTGGAATTTTCTGTTGTTGTCATTACCAAGTGAGAGTGAATAAGTAAAATGTGGGTATAATTCTTTTATGAAGACCTGTGCTGTATATTCCTGTCAGTTGCCATCACTTTAGTGGCAGTTAGACCCGTGATGCCGCCTTATATACAAATTATATTTGTCTGAATGAGACGCAATTGATTTAGATCCCTGATGTTATATCTTCGCTTATGTCCAGATGATGCATGTTTTTAACATGTGACAACTGATACATACCCAAGAAGATTCCCTGTGAGATTCCCCTAGTGAAATTCCCTGATGTCAATGGAATATGATTCTTTGTTCAATGGCCATGGATATGCTGTCTTGTAATTAATTATTTTTGCTTTTTTTGAAACCTGATCATTCTTTCATCTATGAGTATTACTATTGTCATCAGTGTTTTTGTTATTACTGAATTGCTAGGTTTTAGCTTTCGTTACATGCTTTCCTTCTCACCAGAAGCTTCAACTGAAACAGATGGTTTCATTCAAGATGTTAGGTTTTTTGTCATACCACATACTCTTTTTGTTGGTTTGTTTATTTTCTCCGCTCTAGTCTTTGATTTCTTGAGGAAGCTAGAGGTGGTACACATGTGACTTTCTGTGCCAATTTAGAACCAAATCTATCTGCCTAAACTAGTCTGGAAAGAGTCTCACTTCAGTCCATACTGTTGCTGGATTAGCAGAAGTCCTGGAGATTCATCCTTCCAGTTAGGGATGGTGATATTGTCAGCTTTTCTTCTCTGGAGAACTTCTATTCTTTGATATAAGATGCTTTCAAAGCAGCTGTCTGTATCAGTGTTAGTGTAGACCTAAGCAACTACAATCAGAATTTGTCTATTGAGAAGACACAGTGAGACTTTAGTCATCAGTGATGAGACTAATTTAAACAATGATCAGGAAAATGTAAGGAAACAGCATTTCTTTGTTCAGTTTATAGCTTTGTTTTCCTGTTTTAAAGGTGTGGAGCTATGTAAATGTTCTCTATCATGGACTTCATATAAAACTAATTGAACATAAATGACAAGCTATATATATATTTTTTTTGCATTTGTTGACGACATATTGGAAGTGGGTATAAGGACATGGCATGGCTTTAGTGATAATCACTAATGCTCCTTTGCAGTTGATACTGTAATTATATATGTATCTGCTTTACAGGAATTCTGTTCTCATCATGTTGTCTCGTCAGTGCTGGCAGAGCTGAAGCTTTCTGCTTCTTGGAGAGAGCATGTATAAAAGGAATGACCTCATGGCCAATGTGATGATCACCTCTGCCACGCCAGAGGTACGGTTCACTGGAGTTGTTTTGTTGGTTCCTGTATATAAATAGAAGTTACAGCTTGCTTTGACTGTTAGAGAAATCCTTTCCACTATCAGTCATGTCACACCTTTTTCTTCTGAACAGTTTAGTATTTAACAACAAAGCAAATTTAGAAAATTGTGCTTCAGAGCATTCACAACTTTTCCTAACTTTTTATTCCATAACAAAAACTTCTGCAAATATAGTAGCTAAGAGCAATGTAACATATCATCCAGATGGAGCAGGTCAGAACTTTTGTTGAAATTTACTAGTCTACTAGGAAGAAAGTACTCTCTATAGAGAGTTTATTTTACCTCTAATGTCCTTCAGAGATCAGGTGGCTCTGTCATGCCATTTCTAAGCCTGTTAATTTCATGTCATTTGTTGTGAGCAGCTGACAGTCTGCCTGTAGCTTCAGCACAGCCAACTGAAGGCTGCTTGGGAATTAGTTATTTTACTGACTTATTTCCTTTCATATAAAACTTCGAAATTTTATAAATCAACTGTAGTAAAGCTTGCCATGCAAAGCACATGTTTTAATGTATAATTGGAGTTTTTTTTCTGTGTTTATGAAAGGTAACATTTTGATGTAATTCTTCCCCACTTGAAAAGTTCCACTTTACCTCCTAAGATATCTGAAGAGCCATTGAAAGCAAGCTCTTTCACAGTAGTTTGCACACATAACTTGATTGTATCAAAACAGTGGTCCTGCTTTTCATGAAGCAAGTCAGCTGTTTCAGGAGTGAACTAAGCAGCTTTACAGAGGTCTTGATATTTAAAAATCATATAATAAAATACATGATGCAGCAGTGGGCTGCAAAAAGTCATTTTCTTAAATAGTACAAATGTCCTCAGACTAACAAAAATAGGTTTGCATATAAAGATGGGCATTTTTAAAATGAGGTATATAAGCACAGTTTTGAAAGTCCCCTTCAAAACCATTAAAAAGAAAATTTCAAACACTTGAAATTTTTAACTGTGCCAGTATCATTTTGGCAGAAGTTGGTCAGTTTGGCAAAATGTTGGAATCATTTGTGAACCATGCTGTTTTAAATTGAAGGAATCAGTATTTGACTTTAAAAAATTTTACTCATAAATAAAAAAGGCTTTTAAAAATTTGACATGAAATTCATCACTCTGCAGATAAATCTACTTTTTCTTTGTAGGGTAGTAGCAGCTCAGATTCTTTGGAAGGGCGGAGCTCGGATTATGCCAATAAAAGCTACGATGCAGTTGTATTTGATGTATTGAAAGTAACTCCTGAGGAGTTTGCAGTAAGTAAAAGTGTTATTTTTGCATTTATATCTGTATAATAATCAGGGCTCTCAGGATATAAAAATAGCATAAAAACTTTTTCTTTAACCAAAATCATTTAAACAAACTTACAGTGTTCTCAAAAGCAAATTTATGTTTATATTAACTTCAATAGTGTAAACATGTCTTTAGAACTTATTCAGTACTGAGCTGACTTAGTGTACTGTTTGTTTTCTGCTTAAAACCATTTAATTTTTTTTTCCAGTGTTTTAGAAAACACTAGCATACATTTAAGAATAATGTTGGGTATCCATAGTCCTGTTTGTATTTTAGTTGAAACCTCAAATACTCTGCTTTCCTCCTGAAACATCACTTTCTTGGAAACATCAATTTCTTAAATCCTGGGAGTCAACTCAAATAAATTTGAAAGCAAAGCTCTTGCATTGCCAAATGACAAATATAGTTCCCATGTACTTGCCACTGCTTCTAATTTACATTTTCACACTTACTTACTAGGGAGCAGACAGGAGTTGGGGTTACAAGCTAATTAAGCTAGTTCAATATTTTCATTAATATTCTGGGCATCTAAATGGTGTTCCTTTCATTTGGTTTGAGATTCAGTAGTACTATTCACAAAAAAGTTAATACAATATTATTACTGTAATTTTATGACTTTGGAGTTAATTTTTAAGATGAGTCTTTTTAACCCTAGTATAGAGTACACAGATGAATGGCAATTTCAGTACCATATGTATAAAATGGTTAAGTTGAGGTTAGATTGCTTGTAATTTGTAAGGCATTTTTTGTAACATTCCTAATGTGGTTGGTTTGAGGTAAAAGATTGTTGGGGAGGGACTTGATCTAATGGTACACTTCATAAACGAAGAAACAGTACGCCTCAGCACACATGTGTGTACACACCCTTTCTCCTTGTAATAAAGCTACCACAAGTCCAAACTTCTGTAAGGTTTCTTTTCTGTCTTTCTCCAATTCTAGTTGTCATCTATAGCCACTAACAAAAAAAATCCAACAACATCGAAACTTGCATCTGCAGGGCTGACTGTGAATGCTGAAACATACTTTATGTAAACTAAAGCAGTGTAGCTGGACGTTGGGGATATTATTTATGTTATTTTTTAATACAGTTCATGTGAATTTCTAACACACAAAAAAGATGTTGGCCATAGTAGTTCTTCTCGTGCCACGTTTTCACTGGCTTACCCTGATCCTCTCTCTTCTAAGGACATCTCAAGTCTATTTACTGCTTCTGTGCAACTCAGAGGAATAGAATAAACCTTTTTTACAGTAAATTCTAACAACCAGTAAATAATGCATGTAACATCTTCTTATATCTACTGTAAAACTAGTAATCTAGTAAACTGGAATATTGGGTGCAGTTCTGGGCTCCCCAGGACAAGAGGGACATGGAGCTTCTCGAGAGGGTCCAGCATAGAGCAATGAAGATGATTAAGGGACTGGAGCATCTATCGTATGAGGAAAGATGAAGCGAGCTGGGCCTGTTTAGCTTGGAGAAGACAAGACTGAGAGGGGTCAGTCTATACACCTTGGTATAGATATCAAAATGTATAAATATGTGTAGGGAGAATGTGGAAAGGATGGGGCCAGACTCTTCTTGGTGGTGGCCAGTGACAGGACAAGGGGTAACGGGTACAAATTAAACACAGGAAGTTCCGTCTCCATATGAGGAAGAACTTCTTTGCTGTTTACGTGCCAGAGCCCTGGCACAGGCTGCCTGCAGAGGTTGTGGAGTCTCCTTCTCTGGAGATCTTCAAACCCGCCTGGATGGACCCTGTGCCCCTGCTCTGGGTGTCCCTGCTGGAGCAGGGGTTGGACTAGACGATCTCTAGAGATCCCTTCCAGCCTCAATCACTCTCTGTGCGATTCTCTGTAATCTGAATGGCTTGGACAACTTGAGTTCAATTGGGAATGCTGAAGAAAAAACAGGTCTGGGCTTGGTGGTGGTATTATGTTGAGTATCTACATTTTGAACAGTAGGTCTATGAAAGATGGGGGTTTTGTGTTGATATATAGATATTTAGAGAAATGGAATGCAGTCAAGTGAAGCTCAGCTCTTCAAGTTTAGTGTGTTATTTTATTTTTCTAAGTTTAGAAATGGCACAGGAGAAAATCCATGGCACTAATTACATAGCGGAAAGACCAGCAGTTTGGCAATGGTATTGAATTTTGTATTTACCTCCTCAGTGTTTATTGTTTTACAATGGCTTGTTGAAATCATTACTAATTGTTACTGTTTTTTTGTTGTTGCTTTTTTTTTTTTTTTTTTTTAATAGTAAGCTGCATAATATGGCTCAGACTGCTTTTTGGAGCATCTGCTTTGCATCTTACTAGTAGACAGAAGTTAGAAACTTCCAGGTTTTGCAGGAGCTGTGGATGATCTTAATGACCTCTGAGTTTGCAAATGCTCAAACATTATTCAGAAGTATAAGTCCCAATATAAGAGTGGTCAACTAGAGCTTTGTGGCAAAATCTTTGTCTTAGCATAAAATAAAAGCAAGATATAATTAGAGTATTTAAACTGTTTATGGAAGGAAATTTCAGTGTCTGACTGTGAAATATTACACTTATTAACACTTGCTCACATCTGAGCGTTAATCCTGCTAATAGAAACTTAAAAACAAAATCTTCAAATGGAAAGTTACCATTCTTAATTGACAGAATCAAAGGAGGAAAGATCTAAAGAAACATTCTTTAAACATGTTCTTCCAGATATCATATCATTTAAATGGCACAATTTAAAGTTTAGTAGCATTATTATGGTTAAACATAATTTACGTTAATAATGCTACATATTTAGAATTAGAGTCACAGAAGCAATGCAGGTACTTTATCACTGTGATGCTAAAGGTAAATAGATAAATAATAAATATTTTTATCAAAATAATTGTTTTTGAAACAACATTGCAAACCTTATTAGGGCATACTCATCAGTGGCACTGAAAATTTCTGCATGATCCTTTCAAAGCATATTCCAATGATTCCAGTAACCAGTTAGCACATCATAATGCTTTAATGCCTTTCAACCCAGCAAATTAAAAAATGCGTTCTGCTTTCTATGTGAAAGCAAATCCTTCTTCTTGCCACTTCTGTACTGTAAATATAGTTCTAAAACAGCAAGACTCTCAAAACCATTTCCTTTGTTATACCACTACAGGTTCTGCAGTTCTTCACATTGGTGTAGTAAATAATTGTAAAAGAAAGCAGGGACATGCTGACACTCCAAATGGTGGAGTTCTGCTTGTGGTATGTCTGCCTGAAGATTAGGGGCCTTATTCTGGACTGAGCAAATCCGAAGGGCCACAGCAAACAGATGTAATATGAGGAGATAGCAAGCATTTATTTACGTTATTTAAAATATTTTCTTTATTTCAGAGCCAGATTACTCTTATGGATATGCCAGTATTTAAAGCTATACAGCCTGAGGTAGGTTTTCTTAAAATATCCCTTAAAATTTTTGGATTTCAGTGCATGAAGAAATGTAACCAGATGGAAATACAAGTTGTTTACCAAGAATTTCATGTAATTAATATCTACTATTTCCTCCCATTATTGAAAGTCCTTGCTAGGAAGAAACTTTTCTGGTAATAGCCTTTTCAGTGATGTTATAATTGATATTAACTGTCTGCTTTGAGGACAAGAGAAAATGTAACAAAATTGTTCTGAAACTGCTGTTGTATTTTAATTCTACCAATAAGAACACACTGCTTTCTTTGGTGCTTGCTTATGCAAGGTGGTAAGGAGTGTTTTGCAGAACAAGCTTCTTTGGAATTCAGCAGGTAGTGGTAAATATACTGACATATGGAAATAAGGGAATTGCACTTTGTTTCCTCTGCCAGAAAGAGGAAATGAAAAAAGCATGGAGTTGAAGTATTTTGCTTTATTTTACACAGCTTTCTTAGTTCAGTGGGAGAGCTTTACACAGCAGCAGTTCTGAGTTTTCAGCTACTGGGCTGACTAACATTAATCTACAGTTATCTACTGTTGAATTTGTTGTTTGAGAGAGTGTTATATTGTTGTTTTCTTCAAGTTTAACCGTCTTTAACATGAATTTGTGCATGAATTAAGATTTTTAGAGTTCTGGTTATCAAATGCACAAATATCCTTTAAACCTGGCAGTTGCTGAGGCTTTTTGTTTGTTTTGCTATTGAGATAACACTAAAAATGCGTTTGCATGCTACTTTATAACAGCTCAGTAAGAGACCTTTGATTAACAATTCCTTGTAATCCAGTAGAAATAACTACACTAACATTGTAGACTTCTATTTAGCTTTATTTAGAGATTTTTTTTTTTAACATCCTGGAAATGACAGTCTCTGCATATTTGTTGTATGAAAGTTTCTGTTGTAACTTTTTATTTTTCTTGTAACTATCTGCATCCTTCCATACAACAAGATAAAGTTTAATACTGGGAATAGTACATTTCACCAGTTGGGAGAGAGGGATTGGAGGGTGGGGAAGTTCAGGAGGAGAAGTTGGATCATTTACTCATATCATCAACTTTTCTATTTAGTCCAAATTTTAAACCTAGTAAAATTAATTTAGCATTTACAGGATTTTCAGTTGCTACTCACTAGCCCTGTAACAACTATTTAAGATCCTTAGATTCCTCTTCCATTTTTCTAACATGAATTTTGCTATCCCTAGTAGAGTGACTGAGATTTTTCTGCTTGAGCATGTAATTTCCAGGCTCTAAGATGCAATATGTACTGATCATGTGGTGAATCTGTCTTGATGTGTGCAAATTGGCATAGTTACATGCAGAAGGCTTAAATGTTGGAAGACTGCATCATGAAACGTGTTTGGAACTGAAAATGATTTTCCTAGTACTCACACAGCAACATGCAGCCTTCCATTTCTGGAGAAAATGTTCAGTTTATCAGTGTGAATATAAAGTGCCTTTTGGAGACAGAATTCTCTTTGGCTGATCTGCTTTTTGACCTGACATCCTCTGAGGTTAATAGCAATCATTTGGAAAGCTAAACAACATTCTGATTGAAATTGTGGTGCTAAAAACAGTTATTTTAGTTTGTATTATGGTGAACCATTTCCAGTATGTACATATGTACCACTTTTTAGATACATAAAAAGTATAAAGACTGCATAGATACATAGAAGTTTAAATCTGTAATTAAAAGGAGCCAGTCTGTCTAAATATGTTTGGAACTGCCTAAAATAACCACTTGAAAATGGATATTTTCTTTCTGGCAGAATCAAATCTGTAGGTACTACTTCAGATTTCCTTTGACGTATTATTTAATACAGTTAATTTAAGGAGAAATCATTAATTATGTTTTTCTAACTTTATAGTTCCAAGAGGAACTTACTGTATTTATTTTGCAGTTTAAGTGAAGATATTTTTTGCTGTAGGGCACTTAATTAATTGTAGTTACAAGTATGCTACAGAATTTATCATTTTTATTACTATAACTTCACTTAGACTAACTACCATGAAATGAGTGCGTTTCGTTTTAGAAGTATCTGGTAAACGTTTTGCTTGGGTATCAGTTTCTACACTTAATGTTTTTGAACATTACTGATGTTTAGGATGATCTTTTTTTTTTATTAGGAACTTGCCAGCTGTGGATGGAATAAGAAAGAGAAACATATCCTTGCTCCAAGTATTGTTGCCTTTACTAGGAGGTTTAACCAGGTAAACGATATAATTCATGCAATGAAGAGATACTATTTGCCTTTGCATAAAAGGTGAAATAGAACTACTCTTAGGTATTAAAACTTAAGAATCTGTTTAAATATTTTAGTAACGAGGTTTAAGATTTTAAAATGACAGTTCAGTTCCTCTTTCCAGTTGTTGTCCACATTTTTTTCTCTATTTTTCCGCTAGACTCTAGTGTTCCTAATGCTCTTTGCTGGTGTGTCAGCAGGCTATACTGCATGAGCTTTTCTTCCCTTTCTTATTCTGTGTTCTTCCTATTCGTTCGGTTACCATAGTGCTGTCCCACTTTTCTTCCTAGTTCTTAAAGTCCAGTGGTACTGCTTTGGGGTGATTATACAGATGAGAATTCATGAGATCACATCTGCTCTCTTTTCCTACCTTGTGTTTTCCATGGAACATCATGAAAGTGTACACATTTTTAATAAAGTCCTTTTTCTGTAACTAAATTCGTATGTTTACTTTATAGGTCAGTTTTTGGGTTGTACGAGAAATTTTAACAGCACAGACCTTAAAAATAAGGGCAGAAATATTGAGCCATTTTGTGAAAATAGCTAAAGTAAGTGCATATTTGTTATACTGTTATGCAAAATCTTACTTCCTTTTTGTTTGTTTCTGCACTACTATCAACTGGTACTGGATTACAGAGGGTAACATTCTCTTTTAGCACATCTGCTGTGTTGTACCACATGGCTAAGACGAAGGTATGCCATCTATTGTTTTAACCTAGCTGAGTGAAAGTATTCAGTTCAGTGTTACTGATCACTGCTCTAGCTCTTACATTCTTGCCTAACAAAGTTAAAAAATTACTTGTTGCTGTCCACTTTCTGAACTGCATAAAAATAAAAACAATATACTGAAACGCAAGTGTTTTGCCAACACTGAAAATACTTGTAAACTCTTTTGTTTTGTCCCCCCATTCAGATTTATCTTTTTATAAAAGAAATCTCTGAATCTTTTTTTGCTTCTAAAACAAACATTGTGAAGTATCAAATAATTGTTGATATAAATTACCGCTGTTCAAACATTTTATTTTAATGAATTTGAGCATTGCTTTTAAAAAGTCACTTGTTACGCTCTTTAAATATTTAATTTCCTTCAGTAATTCTGTGGATGTTGCTTAATTTCAGTGTTCTTCAAGAATTTCTTGTATCTAATCTATATTACAGAAATGGGTATTGTTCTCTAAAATATAATTGATGTTTCAAGGAAGAGTCTGGGACAACTGATTTATCACTGAGGATGCTGTTTGTAGGCAAAATACTTGCCTGCTTCAAAACCTCTGGTCCCTTTATGGTGTGTGGGCATCTTTGATATGTACCAATGCTAGTAAGAAGACAGCATTTAGATCAAAGGCCTGAGTGCTAATCTTGTACATGTGTCATAGTGGGTCAGTGTTTGTGCTGTATTTTTTTTAACTTTCCAAACAGCTCATGTTATCGAGTCTGGGGAATGAATATCTGTGTAAAATGTGCAAAAATAATTAAATACTATTTTTCATACAATATGAATAGTTTGTTTATATATGGTGAACATGTTCCACTAGTTCATGTAGAAGTTTTCTGCAGAAAAGAACATATGTAAACGGGTTCGTGAAGAATGGACCGCTCGGAGATGTGTGGGTAGTCTTAGAAATAGCGGAGTGTTTTGTGGTGGGGGGGGGGGAGGTTGTTTTTTGTCCTGTGCAAAAAAGAACAAACAGTCCTTTTTTCCCCCCTTCCTCCTTTTTTTTCTTCAATAAAAATCAATTTTTTTTCTCATGCTTCTGAGCAAGGAGTAAATCTGTTGCTCAGGGAGATGGACTGTGTTTTATTCAAGCATTGTAATGGTATGTTGGCTGAATATTTGATGTATCATTCCTTTTTAAAGAAGCATTTCTAGGCATTTACTTATTTATCAAACCGATGTTATTTACATTTAAAGATTTCCTGCTCTTTGGAAGGTTGCCTGCAATATCACTTACAAAGCTATGACTTTTTCCATCATGCTTGGTCTCTTGCCCTATTCAGCAAGTGAGGACCCAGGAATCCAATGTTTTGAATAAAATTACAAATTCTTAGCAAACAGACTTACATTACCTTGGTCAGTATAATTTCAGTTTTGTGTACTGCCAACATATAGTAGAATTCGAAATGAAGGAATTCTTAGGCAGAATTGTCAGTAATATCAACTCGGTGTCAATTGTCAATAATATCAACTTCTCTCTGTGCAGAGACTGGTTGATATTATCAAAGTCTTCAATAACAAGCTACTGTTTTTAGTAACCAAAGCTGGAAGAAGAAATATGCAACTTTATGGCTTTTTTTTATTCCCTTATATTCTTGGACCTATATGGTAAGAAACTTACCAAATAAGCCAGTTTTATTTAAAATAATAAGTATTTTGAGATAATATTCTTTTGGAAAAGCATCTTCTTTGAGAGCAATGTGTTCTGAGTGTTTCTCAGCAGCGAGTTATTTTAAGGCACGATGAAATGAAAGTGTTTGCCTTGTAAAATAAATTAAAAATAAAATTATATTAATTATGAAGCTGTCATCAGCATCTTTTGTTGATATTTTTAGCCTGATTAAATGCTCTACTTCCAAAACAATATTGTTAATGTTTTAATTTATTTTGATACATTATTCTTGAAAATAATTATTTCAAAACAACACATTCAAATTAGTCAACAAATCAACAAAACAACACATTCAAATTAGATACAATTAGCATTCTCAAAACTTAAACAAAACCCCAAAACTATTGTCGTGGTGGTATATTAGGAAAATTGATGGATTTTAAAGCGGGCTTATTAAGAATTTCACACGTTGAAAGAATTGAGCTTTTTTTTTTTTTTTTTTTTTCCAATTATTGATGTAAACTTTGTATTTTATTGTTGCAAATTCTAGATTAATCTTACTTCCCTTTTAGGCATGCTAAAAATATTTCTCTCTCCCTCTTTTTTTTTTTTTTTTTTTTTTCCCCCTCCAGAAGCTTCTAGAACTGCTTAACCTCCATTCTCTTATGTCAGTGGTATCAGCTCTGCAAAGTGCACCTATTTTCAGGCTGACAAAAACCTGGGCTGTAAGTTTGCTTTTGAGCACTGTCTTGTGTTTTGTTGTTTGAATTCCGACGTTTTCTGAACTCTTACCAATTGCTTGTGTTACAGCATCATAGCAGGAAAAGTGATCTCGTGCATGTTTTGTTAAAGCAGAGCTTAAATGGCTGCATGTTTAAAATCTGTTTTCTCAAAAAAGTCACTGGAAGCTACTGATTACATGCTCAAGAGGATTTTGGTTGATAACTAGTCTTAGCAAACTTCAGTATGAGAGCATGTATCTCTATCCTGTTACACAAATCATTGTATCATTAATAAACTGCATAATAGTAAAGGGGAAAAAACTTACATATATGGAAGTAATCATTCTCTGTTTATTTTACAATACATTTCAATTTTGATTTATTTTGGAAATTGAAAGCATCAATAATTCAATTTTCAGAAGTAGTCTCTTCACTTCAATTTATCATTTAAGGTTAACAATTATATAAACTACATATGCAAATGTTTTGCCTATTTTTCTAAATTGGAATATACCATTGTAAGGTAGGTGTACATAATTCTTTGAATATACAGAGGATTAGGTAATTCTCATTAATTCTGTATTTCCCCCAACATGAATAACACGACTAAGAACTGATGAATATATATGAATACTTAAGTTTCTATCTTAGTTTATAACACTCCTAAAATGCCTGTAACTTTTTATGTTTTGAAAGTAGAAAATTAGGCTCTGATGTAAGAAAAGTGCAATTACCTGATGAGCAGCTTGCTTGAAGTAAATATGACATTAGAACTTAAGGAGGGAAGGCCACTTCTGTGTGAAACTAAGTCCATGAATAACTCATTGTAAGATCTACTAGAAATTTTACGAGCTTGCATTGTGCATCTGTATGTAATGTACTACACTCATTAACACTTTTTTCAAAGCATTTATGTAACATATTTAAGGAATTTAGAATGCCATATGAGAAGAAAATAAAATGTGACAAAGGCCCAGCTGAGAAGTGACATATACCAAAGGGAATTCAGAATTCAAAAGCTACTCTTACTTAAAGGCATTTTTTTTCTTCTAAGAAAGAAGAGCGTTTTCTGTTTCTGATGCTTACTGCTGATCCTAGTGAAATTTCAGTGTTTGTCACGCCTGTGAAAAGTGTATGCCTAGTCTTGCATTGATTAGAAACCAAACGACTTCTCTCTCTCTTCCCCCCCCTCCCTTGTGCTTGTGGTGAGGAATTATTTTTCTTTCAGCTACAAAGGGTAAAATTCTGAAATTCTGCAATGCTGACATTGTGCTACATTAGACAGGTTGTTCTTTTTTTTGTTTTTTTTTGTTTTTAATTTTTATTCCCCTGCCTCCCTCCCCCCGCCCTGCTGGTGTTTTCAAGTATATCTTGATCCAAATGTTCATCCTGTTACATCCATGTGGAGGTTTCAAAAAAACCAAAGGCCTTTTCAAGACCCAGTAGTCCAAATATATGCTACAGTACAGAGTTAGGACCTAAGGAGTTGTCAGTGCTATTTAAAAAGTAAACAGTATAGTTAACTGGAATCATTTCACTCTTGTACCTATTACATTAGTTTATTAACAGATGTTATTTAGCTCTGATATGGGTGTGCTGTTCCTGAGTTGGAGGTTTCAGTGTTCCTATGGACAAGACTCAGTTTTACTGATGCCCTTTGTCAAGTCTGTCTTGTTCTGAACAAAATTGAGTGAAGTAATTAACTCATGCATATGCATTGCATTTTAGACTCATGACTATACTAACAAAAGAGCAAGGTTTATGAGCTCTGTAGTAAAAGAGATGAAATTTAGAGAGGAAGAGGTTTGTTAAGAAATGTTCTGGGAACAGCTATCTGTGGTCAGAATGTAAAATGCAAGAAGTCAGTGTACAGTGTCATAATCCTCCACTCAGACTGGCTCAAATATTTTTTTTTAAATAATCTTTAAAAGATTACTGGTGTATCTAAAAGCAGCTGAAATAAGGTATGTATTTTCATAGCTACAGTTGTGTGCTATGTGTTTATGCTTCCACATTTTGTCACGAATGCTATTTCTTTTTCCAAATTCAAAAAGCAGTTCAGCAGTTGTGGTAAATTCTGAGAACATTACTGGCTGTATAGTAATACACATTTTTCCTTTAAAAATTTAATACTACTGATGTTGTTCAAAACTCTGAAGTAGTGATAGGTGGATTCTTCAGAAAGTAATAATCATAATTATCCTTAAGATTTAAGATGAAAGTGCATTTTTTCCTTAACTGGCAGCACTTCTTCAAACATTGTGCTGTTTTTAATGGGGATGAATTTAATCTTAACTTGAGCATGCCTTTCTTTACGGTGAGAAATTCAATAAATTAGAATTTGTTGTCTTTGTACAGCTCTAAATTTTGATGATTTTCTTCATTTCACTTTCTATCTAGCTTTTGAATCGCAAAGATAAGGCCAACTTTGAGAAGTTAGACTATTTGCTGTCCAAGGAAGATAATTATAAAAGGACACGCGAGTACATCAGAAGCTTAAAAATGGTTCCTGCTATTCCATATTTAGGTGAGTGAGAACATTTATCTCATTTATCTGTGTAAATATGCAAGAAACTGTAGTTCATTTTGACAATCACTTATGTAACATGTTGTGCACCTGAAGCACACTAAATATAGAACATATGATTCATTTCATTTGATATTCTGAAAAATTAAATCTGGTGGAGATTTTTAAGGTATAATGCTGTCTAGGGTCACACTAACTCGTGAAAGTTTCATATTGTACTGAACTCTCAAGCCATACATACGTTTCCTGTTTAGATTTTATTTAAATTTATTAATATTTGCAAGAGCAATGTCTTCAATTACAACATGATTTGAGACCTTGCACCTATGGTTTGCTAGACTGATGCTTTAGATACCCCATAACTCGGAATCTCAAAGCTGTAATTTTTTAGTGACAAGTTCTTGTGACTACGGTGAAAAGAAGTGCAAGCTGAAAAGGTAGTTTCATTTATTATTTTCGGCATTTCCCTTTTATTGTTTGTGTGGGCACACTAAATCCTTATTTTCTTAACTTTTCTTTTAGCTCACTATCCCTTCACATTACTGAACTGTAGTAGCATTCTTGAATAATGTGGTCAGATTCCTGCTAATAAAGGCCATTCATTGTACTGGAATATCTTTCCATTGGTAGGGATTTTAGAAGTAAGAAGTTAGTCTAAGAAGTATTTAATCATGTCTAAGCAATATATAGCATAATAGCATAATATATAGCATAATCAAAACAGTAAGATTATTTATTGCAATAATTTTCTAGTGCCCAAAGAAGACAAATACTATTCTTTTTCTACAGCAGTCTTATGTGTATAAAGTATAATCCCATTGAAGGAACTTTTGAGCATTCTATAAATATGACTCTCAGGGAAAAATAAAGAAATTCCTAAATAAATTATTGTTTTTATCTCAAATGTTCAGCACAAATCATTAATGTTTTGTAAAGTTACTTCTTTATGGCGTATTCAGTTGCTTGTATCTTAAACATTTTTAACTATTGGTGTAACCACAGACTTTACTTTTAATGCAGCTTTGCGCTCGTCTAACGTCATTTTGCCTTGCTCTTCAACCACATGAATTAATGCAAAGTGAGATGTAAAATAAGTCTTTAGGTAAAGTCCTAGTCTCCCATCTGTATTATTGCTGACACAGAAATTTCAGTTAATGCTCTACAGTTACAGCCACATGTATGAAAAGGAAACATAGATATTCTAAGAATGACGCACGGTTTTTAGCATGGCTTCTTTGTGACACTTGATGCAAACCGTTCATCAAATTTCAAAAGGTTATATAAGGGTTTTTTTTTCTTTTTTTTTTTGCATTTGCTTTACAAGCTTGCTTGTAGCCTTAAGGCATTTAAAGGACTCCTAGAGGAAACAAAAGGACTTAGGAATGCATAAGCTCTTCAAACTTGTTACTAGCTTGATTTAATTTGTAGCATGTTTTTGTAGTATCTTCATCTCCTTGATTTTCCACTGTTGATTCTGTTTATTGCATATATGTTGGAAGCAATTCATGACATATATTGTACTTACTTTAAATCATTTGAAAGTAATAGCCCTATAGATCCATCAGGGTAAGATCCTTCCAAAATTGTGATTTGCAGAAATACTTTTCTTGTTTTACCAAGAGGCTGTTAGAGAAACAAACTGATGCCAAGTGTAACGAACTGAGCCTTGTTGACAAATAGGTTAGCATGGACAGCCTGACTTAAAAGACGGTAGTGGAGTTTAGTAGATTGGCACTTAGATGATGTGAATAATTGCTGGAAATATTTTGCTTAGGGTATTTGTGCTTGTAAAGAGAAAGACTTGCACAAATTTGGGACTGTCAAATTCTAATGCATTTTTTGTGTACTGCTTTTATATCTGCTTAGCCTATAAAGCTCCATTTTTATCTCTTACTCAGCAGCAAAAGCAGGCTCAGTTTTGGTTTTGGACTTGTTTTGGCTTGGGTGAAAGATGTAATCATAAAATGCAATCTGCTGTTGTACAACTGATGGTTCACTGTGTATTTGTCATTTATGCTCTATCCTCCCTAGAGGATAGAAGAGTAGAAGCAGAGATAGTAGAGTAGAAGAGGTCTTGATTGGCTTTTATTTAGCATCACTATAAGTAGGTTTTTGTTTGTCTCTTCCCATCACTGCTCCCCACAGGACTTTCTCACCAAATTTACAAAATGTGTATATTTGTTACTCGAATTTGTAATGAATGATATGGCTGGAGAGCATGTCTAACTGAGAGTTCAAGGGGAAACAAGCTTTTTCTGATGATCCTGAGTGAATTTATATGCTTATATAAGAAGAGAGACATTATGATCTGCATTGCTGGAATATGTGCCTATATATGAATGTCCAGCTTCCCTGTATTCATGAGCTTTAGCATCAGCTGTTGTGGTGCTAGGAGTATTGTAGTAGTCATTTAGCTGTAACTTGTCTTCTGTGTAGATTATGCAATCCTAGTACGTAAACAAGTCCTGTCAAGTTCTAACTTTTGGGTACCTGAGGATTTCAAGACACAGATTTGGGGGTGCTGTGATGTAATGGAAAATATAAAAATATAGTAGCCAAACTAGATCTTAAGTCCCATATTTTCAACAAGTTTTTTAAACAATATGAGTGTATAATGGGGCAGTATTAAAGCACATACTCTTACCAGCAGAATTTTGAATTATTGCTTGCCGTTTGTCTTTAGTTTCAAATAAATGTATAGTTAAGAATTAAAAAGAAATATGGTTGATTGCTTTTTGTCGTCCTGGAAACAATTTTTGGCAACAGTAACAGGAATGAGGTTTTAAAGTTTCAGTGTATGCCCAAAACCAAATCTCTGACAAGGGACCCTGAGGATGCTTAACAATGTTCGGGAAGTATATACAAGACTTGCATTTTTGAGAACCTGCGTAAATAATACTTTTACTCATGCTTTTTTCTACTCTGCTACCTGAAATCTCTAATTACCCACTGGAACAAGAAAATCTGACAGTATGAAACAGAGCTTTTAGCAAAATAAAAACCTAGAAATGGTATATGCAAACACTTTTGTACCCTGTCTCTAATCATTTCTCTTCCAAACCGATGATTCCTTGTACACCCACCTCTTGGTGTATTTGACCACCCACAGCAATCTTCTTTGACAGCAGGGGGTCACTGTAGAGAATGGGCATGGACTGCACATAGTATTCAAGATGAAAGTGCACCTTAAATGTATACAGTGACTTCAAAATTTGTGTGTTCGATTTAATAATTCCTAATATCCTGTTAGCTCAGCATTTATTAACAATGAAATAAGTGAGTTATTTTCAGGAACTACTCATTGTAATCCCAAAAACTTAACTTTTAGTGGTAGTTATTAGTTCCTTTCATTTTCTGTGGAAAATAAATCCTTATTTTCCTCTATTTGTGTCACTCTGTCTATCTTGGTAGATGTTTATCTGCTGTCTCATTGTCTAGACTCTGTCTCTATAAGTCCTGCAATTCCACAGTCAGCCCTTCTCTGTTACCAGAATTGGTTAACATCAACAGCAGCTTTTTGTTCCGTTGCTCACCCCCTTTTTTCAGGTCACTTATGAATATATTGAACAGCATGAGTCCCAGCCACAAATCCCGGTGAATAATAGTCAGTACTGTTTATGTAAAATATTTCATATTAAATAAATTTGACAGCCATTCCTAATGGCCACACTAAAAAAAAAAAAAAAAAAGTTGAAAAACTGCTTAGAGCTACTGAAAATTCCATGGAAATAGCTTAAGGTCTGAAGGATTGCTTAACTAATCAAAAGAGAATGTTCAAGGAGGTCTGAGTATGGCAGATAAATATCTTTTGGGTAAAGACAATAATAGGCACAGGAAAGCTTCATTAATCTAAGGATTAGGTTAGTTACACCTGAGGATTCCTCCACCACAGAGAGCACCACTCTCTTCTGATAGCAAAGATGAGGCTGTGTCCCTGCCCTTTTGAAATGTTTCTCAGCTTCCCAAGATGTGCAGTCGCTCCTTTGTGTAAGTAGGCAAATATAGGAAACAAATGGTGTGTTCACAACCTCAAGCCCTAATTGGTGAAATGAGAATATTCTTTACTATGTGTAAAAGATCAGCAAGAGATCAGCAAGACTGTGGCCCCGAATGCTAGAAACATTTAGCCACAGTTTGGTCTGAGAAATAGGAGCAATTAAGTTTTGAAAATTTGTGGATGGAGTCTTTTCCAGTGTTTGTTGCAGGTGATCTTTTATGCTATATCTGTATATCATTTAAAAAAAAAAAAAAGTGGGAGCGTGCTGCTACAATCTATAACTGTGTAAATATATACCTGTAACAGTGGAGATAGGACTTTGATAACAAAAGAGTCCGTGGAATGAACCTTTGTGAAATTTGTGCATAACCGAATAAAGCATTGTTGACTCAAATGGCTTAAATATGGTAAGATAGCCTTTTGTCTAAATGCTATAGGAAGAACTTCACTGTTCATTTCTTGATATACTGCTAATTTATTAAGGTATTTACTTCAGTGTTTTGACAAAGATATCTTAACATTATCAGAACAGCAATGTCAGTATGAGAAGTGGCATGAAGTCCAGTTGGAAGCCAGTCACTAGTGTTGTACCACAGGGATCGATGTTGGGTCCAGTGCCTTTTAATATCTTCATTCATGACGTGGACCATGAGTGTGTATTATGGAGATATATTTGTATCTGTGGAGGTTCCTACAGAAAAGAAACTAGTATCTTTTCTGATGATATGTCCCATCATTGAGATGTGCAAATGGATACCTGAAGCTCTGTGCATTCCTTGACAAAGCTAAGAACTTCTGTGTTTTGCTAAGTACTTTTAGGTGCAGATATTTTCAAGCATGAAGTGGCACTTGGAAGACCATCTTTCATTTGCCGCCTTCATAAAGCTTCTGACAGAGACTTTCATGTAACCTGTGCATGTGGAGAGTACTTTTAAACTATAGTTCACTTTACAGACAGTAAGAGTGGGCAAACACTCTAGCAAGTTTGGAAGTTCTTCCAAAC